TGCGTCTCCTAGGGAGAGGTTTCTACACTTTTACAAAGAATGTTTCATTTTCAAGCTTCCCATCAAGGTTTTTTGTCTCCTAGGGAGAGGTTTCCACACTTTCACAAAGAATGCTTCATTTTCAGTCTTCCCTTCAAGGTTTTTAAAATGGTCTCCTAGGGAGAGGTTTCCACGCTTTACAAAGAATGCTTCATTTTCAGGCTTCCCTTCAAGGTTTTTAAAATACGTCTCCTAGGGAGAGGTTTCCACACTTTTACAAAGAATGCTTCGTTCTCCACTCCAACTGATGTGGGATCTCAGAACTTTCCTTCCTAATTTTTTTGTAATTACCCACCTCCTTCCTTACTTCTTCATTTCGTGTCGGATGCAATCAAATCAAATAACCAAAAGAATGAAGCTAAGCCTAATGCACCGGATAGCTAAAACCCATACCAAAAAAACTAGGAGAAGTTTGAATTCAGCGTACGCAATGAGCTAATTTTACTCTTGACATGACACCATGTCACAAAATCAAACCCATAAATTCATCTAACTACAGCAACTTCCAACCTGAGAGATAAAGCCAAAAGAAAAGGAACATGTTTTTTCTTCTTTACCTCAATCATCTCGTCAGAAGGTCCTGCACAAGCCGGCAAATTATCTGTTAAAATCCTGATCTTACACCCACTCTCCTTCCTTATCTTCTCAACGACCTTCCCTCCCTTTCCTATAACTGACCCAACCTGAGCTACGTCCGCCAACAATCTACAAGAAACAACTCCAACTTCGACACCAACTCCAACGCCCTCACTCTCGGCTGCTACCTCCAAAATCCTCTCGAACACCTTCAGAAGCCCCTCTTGGACCTTCGACGCCTCGAATTCCTCCCCACTGGCCCCAGGGTCGCTAGGGTTTTGATCCAGGAACACCCTGGAGGTAAGTGCCGGCGGTCCAATCACAGTAACAACCCGGTCGGGCGATTCGCTGGGAGCTTCCTCAACGCGAATCTTCGCTCCGGTGGACTGCTGAAGTTGCTTTATCACAAAGCCCGACTTCCCAATAACCCCGCCGATTCTTGAAGCGTGGCAGAGCATTCGAAACGCGATATGGCCCGGAGGAATGATGAGCGGCGGAGGTTGCTTGGACCTCTTCGACTTAGATGAACCATTGACCATGCCGACGTGTGTATCAGCCATTCCAGTCGCCGGCATGTGTGATACTGATCGCTTCAATGGAAGAGAGGGAAAGTTACTTCCCATCTCTCAATCTCTTCCTTCCTTATTTGAAACCAACGGAATTTTGTTGAAGAAACTGAGTACAATTATTGCAGATAAATGTGGAATAATGGAACAATCTTAACTGAACATTGGATCGAGTTTTGGTGTTTTCTGTGACTGTTACAGAGAGAGTGGAACAGAGAGAAGACGGGAAATAGGGTTCTTTGCTGGATTGGAAGACAATAATGGGCGAAAGAGAAGACTCCGAGACGCAGGGTACCACCGCCTGCGCGCGTTACACTGGATTCGGCTTTTTTTTTTTTTTTTTTTTTTTTTTTTTTTTTTTTTTTTTTTTTTTTT